TTGAACCTTCCGGTTAAAAGTGAGTTTTTCCTCTCCACTGTCGCTATAAGCATGCTCAGTGTGAGGGATGCATTAGAGTCAATGCAATCAACTGATTTTCCTTAGATAGAAAACTTTGAATCAATCTGACTGAATGATCTGGTGAACTATAAAGTGCCTTCAGATGACACGTGTTGTGAATTGGCGCTATAGAAAATAACTGAATTGAACTGAGTTGAACCGAGCCATCAGCTCTGGTCCAGAGACAGGCGGGGACGGAGCGACCAAACCTGATCCGGTGACGGTATGCTCCCCCGCCTGCCTTACACGGTAAGGCAAAAATATACAAAGGATTGTAATGGAATAAAATTGAGTGTGTCCCATCTGGCTAAAGTAGTAGTACAATTAGACATAGATTTGGAGTCAGTGGGTCACATGACCTGGAAGCTATTGAAGAAATATCAATTATTTTTGTAATATAAAATGTTTAAAAATATACAAAATCTTAAAATGGAATAGAAATGAGTGTGCTTCATCAGGCTAATGTCGTAAAACTTTTTCACAACCAATTTGAGTCAGTAGGTCCCATCACCTGGAAGCTATTAAAGAAAAGTCCCAACTTTTGTCTTTAAAAATATCTTAAAAATGAAAATAGCTTGAAATTGCATAAAAGCAAGTTTGCCTTACATATGTTATCTATTAGCATGATTTTATATTAGTTTTGTCTTAGCTGGTCATAAGATGAGGAATTTATTGACTTTTGTTTCTCAAGAGTGCTTGGTTCAAAGATTTGTTGATGGGAAGAGTTTTGGCTGTGAATTCAAACAGGTCTATCCTTCGGCGGCTTTTACCGCCCACTGTCGCTTAGCAACCGTGATAGCTGACTCACAAAGCTGGAAAAGTATGAAAACCGAACTTTTCAAAACTGTTTCTTTAAAAAAATTTTTTTTTTATTTTTTCATTGTAGGGACAGACATGAGTTCTGAAAACTGCTGTTAAAATGAACAAGCAAAGACCGTAAGCTATCAACATTTCTGATTCCCTTTTACCAATATTTCTTTGCTATTACTGTTTTCATTTTTGACGGCAGTTCAGGTATTAATAACAGGTGTTATTTGTTTTTTTAGAACATAACACAAGAAGAATGCTAAAGATCTGATATTTTTTGTTTTCCACATAAAAATAGTGCTATTTAATTGACTTCTACATATAGAAATACAATAAAGACAAACAGAGAAACACTATTTACATTGATTCTATTTTTCTAGATTTACACACGGTCCATGAGTAAATTAGTACAAGCATTAATGTCTGGTAAACAATGTTTGAAACTAGTTGGTTATTTTGGATACTATTATCACATTACAGAGAAGATAGTGTTTTATGTCTTTTATGTTTGTTAAAAGGGATTTTATTTTGGAATAAACTTATGCTCATTCTTAGTGTTATGCTTTGTAGATGAGGCCAATAAAAAAGAAAATAGACATTAGGAGCTATTTAAACAGTCAGACAGTAAGCAATAAAGGATGATGATAAAAGGTTGTGTTACATTTAATCCGTTTTTAATTTATTAAAAACGCACTTGTATAATAGAAACATTATATGATTGTAGGAAACACAGATATAATGATGCAGGGCATCCTCGAGGTGAAGCAGCTGCCCTTCAGTGCTGTATTATGGAAGAAATTTGTTCGGAATGTTACCGTAAAATTAGGGCTGAAACTAAAAATTATTTGGAAAATGTATTAATCTGTCGATTATTTTTTCAATGAATCGATTAATAATCAAATTGCCAAAGAAGATTTTTTACAAAATTAAACCAGGTGAAATAGAAACGTTTCCTCTTGAGGAGTTCTGGATGGAGAATATTGACAGACAAAAACTTTGTTTTATCGTAAATGCAATATGTTTACATATTTTTTACAATCTTGCCATAATTCCTGCTATAAGTGGGTCGCTCTGTCGGCTAAAGGCACATTTTACTAGCCCTATTGTCCATTTCAATCTGAAAAACTCACACGAAGAGAAAAGACAATTAGGAGAAATTTATTTGAACAATTACATTGTCTTTGGCGCTCAGACCTTGGCACGAAACAATGCACTTAATTTTGATATATATGCATGAACAGGGGCAAAAAATAGGGCTGTTTCCCCCAGGCCTGAAACTGGTGGTGGAGTGGAGACAGATGAAGTTGGTCAGTCTGTAGACTCCTGGTTAGCGAGACGGTATGCTGAGCTTTATGGGGAGATCCAGTGGATCGCATGACCTGATACTAGAGCTCAAGGGCGTAGGTTTGATTTGAACTTTGGTGGGGACATTATTGGTCTGGTGTCATTGGTGCTATGCAATATGCATGCCCTTTTTTATGCTTGACGTGAGCATCAGTACTGATGAGAGGAATTCATTGTTTAAAGAGAAAAGGAACATTTTGCTACATTAATAAACATTTTATAAGCACTACACTCACTAGATACTGTTTATCAATGTTGAAGTATCACCGGCTCTGATGAATGTGGAATTAGGACTGTTTTCCACTTTGTAAATGGTTTCATTTGAACAACTAAGACAGAAGGTAAACACAGTATTTTCTTTTGAAGATATAGAATTGTGCAGAGTTAAACCCCACTCTTATATTTTTACCTACTATGCTTCATTAAAAATAATAA